TTAAGCTTCGAGTTAGTGGTTTAGAAGTTTTACACAAATAGTTTATGTTTATAAATGTACGATCTTGAGGGATGAGTTGTTTTGAAAGAAAGATGTTGATTTGCGTTCTTCAACTTCGAGGTGTGGAACTTCCTGTAACAAGCCAGAACGGGCAATGTAGAGGAGAACACATACAAAACCAAGATGTCGGACCAACAAGATATATTTAATATAAGAAGACAGATGTCGTCAGTGAACCACGAGGTCGTGACAGCGTCACGCAATATTGTCACACTTCCCTCAGTAAATAAAACTTATCTAAAGCTGTGTAAAAGTTGATATTTTGTAAAATCAGAATTATAATAGAAGTTATCCAAATAGTCACTCAAAAAACTGAGGGGTACTTATGCTTTATCAACTGAAGTTTTATTTGCAAACAAACAGATTTAAATTGTTTTTCTTTCCTTAATATCTGTTTGCTGATCTGCTATTTGAATACTGCTACAACACAATTCAATCAAATCAGGAAGAAGACAAGTGCCCCAAAAAATAGAAAGGGACTCAAATCAAACTTTGCATGCGACTCTCGCCTTGTGCGGAGAACTTAAAGCTACTATTGGTCAGTTTCTTGCCTTAGTTTTTCAACAAAGTTAGTTTGGCCGGCGCAGAAATGGAGTGATTCATAATATCTTTGGGCTTTTTTTTTATCTCCTTTATATTTGGCTGGATTTTGTCACATTTGACGATCTAACTGTGTTAATTACACGGAAAGAAGCTGATGTTACAAAGACTGCCTAATGTATAAGTCTGTCTTTTCACTTATTTAAATTTCGGGGGAATTACAATCACAAGAACGTTCGCAGCTCATCTGAAAGTTTCAGTTTACACCCTTAAAAGAAAAGACAATTCTGGTGTCGCTCGAGCTTGTTAAACTCCCCATAGATGTAACTTCTTAACAGCAGACAAGCATTGGATATCACAAGTTCTTGTCTAGTGCAATGACAACAGATTTCACTCCAGTCCTCCATGAACGTAAGCTAAAGGTCAACTTGAAACCCTAATGAAGAATTATCAAAACACCAACTCACCTCTCGTTGTTTAGTTTGTGTTTCTGTCTTTAATTGTATTTTT